TTGTAATTTGTGTATTTGTTAATCCAAACACACATGCTATAAAACATCATCTTACTTACACATAGTAAGAAATGGTTATAAAAACTGAAACAGAAGCGAAACAAGTAATAGGAAAGAGGAGAAATAAAAAGCGATACTTATCCTTTGCCGGTGTTATATATATATATAAATAATTCATATTTTAATTAATTATTATACATTCCAATTTTATTTGATTGGGATTCTGCCTGAATTGTTTTAACCCCTTATTATCTTTTTTTAAATGTATTTATATTGCTATCTAATGGCTAAATGCTGCTTTAACATGTTTTGTAGAGTGCAGATGAATATGGCCTGATATGGATCACTTCAGATTTAATCTCTGTGGCGATTGTCATTGGCATCTTCATATTTCAGAAGTAAGTGCATCTCTTTTAGTATGTCCTTCAAGTTGTTTCTCAATACTTTTTAATACTTGAAGCTTTTTTGCTGTGTCGGTAATGGCTTTAATCTCCGGTACGACTATTTCTGTGCTCGCACACATTTGCACGAAAGCCTGTTTGATTTTCATGCTTGCTATATCTCTGCTGGGCAGCCGGGTGCTTTTCTGATGGCTCTGCTCTTTTCTTCTTGGCAATCTCTACTTTCCCTCCGTTTTCTCGCTGTCCTCTGCTCTTTGCATGCACCTGTCCTCTGCTGCTCACTGAAATTGCTCAGCTATCACCTGATCAGGTAATGAGGATGAGTATTTTAGGGACTGAATTCTTTGACTGTTTTGGGCTTTATTTGTTCTGTTTCTTCTTCTTTATCTCATCAAATATCTCAAGATGTGATACTCAGTTTCACTATAATGACCAGAACTTTATGGAACTTTCAGACCCTCAGAAGTGTGTTTTGGTGACTGTGTGTTGTCATCTTTTTCCTCAGGTGGAAGATGAGTGGCATGCGCAGCTACAACCCGGAGCAGATCATGCTCAGCGCTGTAGTACATCGGCCGAGTCGTGACGTCAACCTCATGAAGGAGAAACTGATCTTCTCAGGTGAGACTCATGAGCACAGCTGTGTGGAGATAAAGCCTGGTTAATAAAACCACAGAACAAATCACTCTCTGTGATCTCTGCATATGGCTGTGGCACAATTATTCAGACACTTTGACCTGACCATGTTTTGCTTAAGTGTTATCTGACATTATCAAGATGAATTTGTTCTGACACAGGTTCTTGTCATATTTTATTAGCATTTTCTAAACTATAGCGAATAAACTGTGATAATGTGTGAAATGTTGAAGGTGTCTGAATAAATTTTGGTTTGACTGTATATATATTTATTAGTGCTGTCAAACGAGCTTTTGTTTACATCATATATCTGTGTGTACTGTGTATATTTATTATGTTTATATAAAATATTAATATTTATATATAATATAAATTATATATTAATATAAATATTTACATGTAAATATTTTGAAAATATGTATGTATGTTTGTCTATTTATAAATAAATATACACAGTACACACATATATTTTGTAAACAAAAACTTCAGATCATGCTCAGCGCTGTAGTACATCGGCCGAGTCGTGACGTCAACCTCATGAAGGAGAAACTGATCTTCTCAGGTGAGACTCATTAGCACAGCTGTGTGGAGATAAAGCCTGGTTAATAAAACCACAGAACAAATCACTCTCTGTGATCTCTGCATATGGCTGTGGCACATCACCCCCTGGTGGCAGTCATAATGCACCTTCAATATCTGTATTCATATCTGCATATGGTAACACTATACAACAAGGTTAAACATTAGTTAATGTATTAGGTATCATCACAGTACACACATATATTTTGTAAACAAAAACTTTTATTTTGGATGTGATTAATCGCAATTAATTGTTTGACCGCACTAATATATATATATATATATATATATGTGTGTATGTGTGTTACAAAATGATTTGTAAAATGATATATAAATGTATAACTATAATAAATCTATACATAAATATTACTTAAATGAGAAGGTTTGTCATGTGCAGAAATATATATAAAAAAAACTAAATACATTATGATTCTATATACATGGCTTAAATGTTTTATATAAATGCATGTGTGTAATAAAATAATAAATTAAATATATGCTTATGTGTGTTAAAATATTATATATATAATATTTTATTAGAGTTTACTGGAGTTATTATTACAGCTTCATTGAAACATCATATGATTGAAACCAACCAAACTATTCAAAAAATAATGTTAAGACAGATGACATCTCAGCAGTGATTTAGAAAAAAGTGATCCCAGTTGTGAAAAACTATCACTATCTCTGTCTCTAAAGCCCCGTTCACACCAAGAACGATAACTATAAAGATAACGATATTAGCGTCCACACCAGCGAACGATATCGTCTGTTTATTCTAGGCGCACATGCGTCTGCCACTTTAAATTCTTGAGCTCGTTACAGCAGGATGGATTCTGATTGGCTGTCATTGTTTTATCGTTCATCAGCTGGAAAAAAAAATCGTTTTGAAAGTGATCACAACGATATCGTTCCTCTGTATCGTTATCGTTGTAGTTGTGGTGTGAACTATGCTATTCTTTAATATTGAGAACGATTTTTAGAACTATATCTTTATCGTTATCTTTATAGTTATCGTGCTTGGTGTGAGCGGGCCTTAAGTCTGTATGCTTACACAATCAGTGGCCAACAGTCATTTGAGTCCAGTCTAATTACCAGCACCATCATCACTTAATATGCAGTGGCAAGATGTGGCCCAAAAGTGTTCTTGTGGGCTCTGTGAAAGTTCATTCATTTAAATACAGATCGCCCCCTAGTGGAGAAATCTGCCCTGTGAAACTCTGGCTAATGAGTTTTGTGCTGGTTTCATCCCTCAGAGATCAACAACGGTGTCGGGAGCACAGATGAGCTCTCCGGGTACACAGGAAACGGACTAGACACGTACTCACGCGATGACATCTGCACGTCACGCAACGAAACTTTAATGACGACTTGAAGCCATTTTATGGAACGAACATCTCAAGCTCAAAATCATTCATTTAGACCGAGTTGCTTTGAACATTCATCTCCGTTGGGTCTTTATTTGGAATGGTTTTCGTTGGTTCACAGACACTCTGGGACTGTATTCCACTGATTCAGTGTTCTGCTTTGATGCCTTACATAGCCTACCGATGAATTTTTTTCTGTATTTAAAATGGAGCTGAGTCATTGTGCACTGTAAAGTTTAGTCAAATCTTGAAAGCTGGTAATAAAAGTGTCCTATTAATAATATTTTTGAAGAACAGACTGAAGATGAATGGATTTAATGTTAAAGCATGCAGACATCGCAGATTCAGAGATGTTCTGAACCCCAAACTAGCCCTTGTAAAGCTTGACTGTAGGCTGATATAATTATTTATATTTTATTTATTGTATTTTTTTAACATATTATTTGCTTGCTGGTGATTCATGTCATCGCACTAGCTTAAGATCACATTTCTATTACCTTGCTGTATCAATGTCTTTTTAAGTGATTTATTTTGTAATGAAATCACTGAATTGCATTGAGAGTCTTTTTCATGAGGTGTCCAAATGGGTTTTGAAGGTAATTATTACTGGAAATGATTCAGTATATCAGGTGAAGTCAGGTAAATTGGGCCACTTTTGTGCACAAACTGGCCCAGTTCATCCTGTGCTGCAGTAGACAGGCCTACTCTTTAGTCTCTCAGAATGATACTTGTCATCATTTAAAACATCACAGTTTTTTATTGTATATTATTGGGTAACACATTGGCCATATTCATTCACGAGCAGAACAAATTTGTGTAAATCACTCATGGGTCAATAAGATTTAAAAAAATAAATATATACTTCTATTTAGCAAGGATGCTTTAAATTGATCAAACATGACATTAAAGACATTCATAATGTTATGATTTCAATTTTTTTTTAATTTTTTTTATTCCTATTCATCTAAGATTCCTTAAAAAAATGTTTCACTGCTTCCACAAAAATATAAAGCGGCACAGCTGTTTTCAAATATATATGAAAATAGATATCAAATATATTAAAATAGAAAATAGTTATTTTAAATTGCAGTAATATTTCACAATATTACTGTTTTTACTTTTGACTAACAGAAATGTGACTTTGGTGAACATAAGAGATTTAAAAAAAAAAAAAAACATTTAAAAAAATCTTACTGACCCCAAAACTTTAAACGGTTGTGCATAATCATTTGCAAGACCGTAGTTCATGCATATTCAAAAATCAAATCAATGAATCAAAGTTGAAGTAATTTTTAACTATTTGAATGTGCATTAACTAATGATTAATAAACCATTGTTATATGTGTTAATGTTGTTATAAAGTGTTACCAATTTTTTTTTAAGACAGACTTTAGCAAAAGCTGTGCGATATATTTTGCCAAACTTCTTTAAACAATTTTAAGTTACATGTGCAGCATTAATGTTGTAAAAGATGGAGTTTGCTCATTGTTTTATGGCTGTAGTTAGTAGGTGCTCACACTAGATGGCAGCATTGCTGAGTTATTACTGAGTATTACAGATCTCATTTTCTTTAGCATGTCAATGGCACTTTTAGTTTCAGGAAGCCACTGACATAAGCTTCGTCTGTACCAGTAAATATAAGTATATTAATATGACTGGATATGTAGCAGATGAAATTAGTACGATATAGAGATATCTTTTTATTGCATAAAATAGTGCATTTGTAATTTCAGTAGTTTGTTGTTTTGTCTAGCATCTGCAAGGCAAAGTTTAAACAGTTTACAAGAGCAAAGCTTTACCACTCTCACCATATTTACAGTATATTTACATGTCATCTTTAATATCTATAACGTCTTCTCTCAGTGTCCTTGATGTGGAAATCCAGTGTCATCAGAGCACAAACCCTGGACCGAAACACCTTAATGCAACAGCTCTGCAACACAAAGGCTTCTTTACACAGTCAAGACTCTGGCCAAAATAGGTTGTGGCCAGCGGGTAACAATCTTTGCACCAACCAGAGGCAGGCGAGGACGAGATAAACAGCATTATGCAGGGCTGTGGTTATGCTTGGGTTGCAGGTGGGCTGAGAGGGGCCGGCTGGCTCTCTGTGTCCTCTTTACTGTTGTCTGAACAGTCAGATCCAATGTAACAGCCCGAGTCTCTGGGACAGTCGTTCAGTTCGGCTTTGACTTGTTCAGAGGGAGATTTGGGCTCCTCATCTGTCTCTTCGTGGCTCTGATTATTATCTGTATCAGAATGAAAAAAGAAGACAGACGCAGACGTCATGATAATGTCATCAGATGAGTGTGCATGAATATTAATGCAGTACTTGGAAAAATGTTTTAATTACACGCAACACGCACTATGCTTTTCTGTGTATTGCAGCATTTGATGCCTTTTGTGAGGTGTGGCTGTACTTCTGAAATTATAAGACGGATACCCACAAAAACTCACTGCTCAACACACTTCCTGTTGGGTCTTTCATCACATGCAGGCAACTGGCCTCAATGACATTCACTTTTTTCCATTAGCAGTGTTTTTTTTTTTTTACAATAAGCTACACAAAATCTAAACTGATTTTATATAGTAATTCATTTAAATATATTACAATGTTGAACTTTATTTAAGTGTGTGTGTATAAACATCTCATTTAAAAATATTTATTTTAGTTTTTGATGTATTTTATCTCATCTTTGTTTTATTCAATTTATCATTGACAACTGTAAAATTGCACAAACCATTTCACACAAATGAGTCTTTTTACAAATAATTTTTTTCAACCCTTGTTTTGTGATCAATTTATGTCATGCTGACTTTTTTGTACAGACCCACTTTATTCAAATATTTAATTATTTTATTTTATTAAACATTTGTAAATATGTTACATTATTTTAAATTTATAAAATATACTGCTTATGTATTTTTAATTTTATTTAAAAAAAACAACATTTAAATGTATTTTATCTCATGTTTGTTTTGTTTTCAATTTTAATGTCACTATAGCAGAGACTTGAGTGGAAAGGAACTAGATTTTTATCTGAGGGAAAATGTGTGAAAAGTAGTGTTTTCAACCTGTCGTTTCACGAGTGTGGCTTTGATGAGGTTTGTTTTTTATCTTCTAAAACACTGTATGATCACAGCGCTGAGGTGCTCATCCTACATCAGCGCTTTAAACTGTGAGACCTTTGATATTAAATATAAAATGCAAAAAACTGTCTTGGAAGCAAAGACAGCATCATCTATGTGCCATTTCCGGCCTATTTTTTAATATATTTTGATGCCTTCTGATGTTCAACCACTTACGTTCGGAGTCCTGCAAGTTTTCTGCCGCCAATAGCAGCCGGTGTCGGTGTTCAGGGTCAGTCACATTGAGCTCCACAAGGTGCTGCTCCTTCAAATCCCGTAGATCTTCCACCGTCTGATACCCGTTCAACAGCAGAGATGAAATGTGCTCCTGCAGAAACAATTTTGTCTGTTAAAGTAGCACCAACTAAATCAGATAATACCTGACATCCTGTTTTTGAGATTTTGAATGTGAATCTGTGGGTATAACGAGCTTGATCATTAGCTATGGTATTTAACGGGACATTTTAAGCACCTCCAGATTGAGTCTTTCCAGAAGTTCCTGAAGAGTTTTGGGTCGAGGTCTTCTGCTCCTCCGGTGAGAGCGAATCCTCGGTTCCGGCACGCTTTCCTCCACCAGAATGTTGACGTAGATGAACTTAAAGTTTCCCACTTTACCATTCAACATCCCTGTCCAGATTCCCATTGCAGGTTTGCTGATGATATCAATCACATCTCCCACCTTACAAACGAAAAAGAATGCATGTTAATAGCTCGGAAAACCATCTCTTTACACATCAAAAACATCTCAGGTTGGTTTTTACCTTGAGTTTGAGAGACTCTGTGTCATAGGGACTGGGAACGAAGTCAGTGTGGACCTTGGCTCTCCCGCAGAACTGGCCCGTATAGGGCACATCTTCTTCTAAACGCAGGCTGTCCCTGTTACTACAACCCTCAGAGCCGCTGGTCACACCACCTAAAACATCAGGAAATGCAACCAGTGAAACACAAAACACATGGCTGAAATGTCAAAAGCACATCTACGCCAAAATGTCAGTTGAGTATGCAGTACATTTTCGCTCTTGTGGTAGCTCTGTTTTACATTTTAAACTGCAGGTTAGACCTGTGATCCAATAATAAATGGTCTACTAGTTGTAGAGGATATTTAGTTCAGCTTACTAGATGAACTCTGGCCGCTGTGCAAGCTGAACAGACTCTCTACGGAGTTACTGGAGTGGTTGCAGCCTTTGGCCAACGTGCCATCCACGACTTCAGCTGCCGCAGCTTCGTTCTCCTCGCCCTGTGAAAAACATCAGCTGCGTTCATGAGCAGAGAAAGTCTCAGGCAAGAGTCCCAACCAAAAGCTGATACGTGACCGGTCTTCAGGTAGCAAATCAGTTCGTGCCTGGCCGCGGGTCACTCGAGGGAGCAAAGTCTTTAATCCGCGAGAGCTGCACTGCCATTTTTACCTCAGACATGGGAGCTGCGTGTAATCCACCCACACGAGCTCCTCAGAAGCTCTTTATAGTAGCCTACAGCGGTTCACTGCTTTGTAAAGCTTGAAATAAATGAGAAAACTACAGAGACGTTGTGCTTTCCAAACCTGTATGACTTCTGTGCAACACAAAAGAAGATATTTTGAAGAATGTTGGTAACCAAACTGTTTCTGGTCCCTTTGACTTCCATTGTGTGGACAAAAAAGAACCATGGAAGTCAAAGGGACCCAAAAATGTTTGGTTACCAACATTCTGTGTTCCACAGAAAAAAGAAACTCATACAGGTTTGGAATAACATGAGGGTAAATAATGAGAGAATTTTCATTTCAGTTCCCATTGAATTCCATTGTATGGACAAAAAATACAATGAAAGTCAATGGGAACTGAAACTGTCTGGTCACAACATTCTTGAAAATATCTTCTTTTATGTTCCACAGAAGAAAGAAATTAATACAGGTTTGGAACAACTTGTGCGTGAGTAAATGATGACACAATTTTCATTTTTGGGTGGACTAGAACCCAGAAGCCAATACGCTGATCTAAACAAGCTGATCTGTTCCGTTGCTTGCTAAGCCTAAAGAACCTTTGTTTTCAAGAGTGTAAAACACGGCTGTAAGTTTTGATTTTTTAAAGGTTAAAGTTGCTGAACTGTCAAGCAAGCGCTCACCATTTCCTTTGACAGGGCTTTAGTGTATTTCCGGCCCATTTTTTTACGCATGGTCAGTGAGATGTTCTTCATCTTCTTCCCGAGACCTCCAGATTTACTGGGATCCACCTCAGCTGCTTCCACGGGCTACACAGACACACATGGAGTTCAGCATCAGAGATTTTGGAGTCCGGTTTTTTATAAGTGCTTTATTGACAAGAGAAACTAAACTCACCAAACTTTCTACCTTCTCTTCTGCCTTGACCTGGGTGGGCTGCTGTCTGTCAAAAATTCCAAAACTGGTGGATCGCTGAAACAAAATGAAGAGATAAAATAGGTTAATGTGGTCTTCAGCTGTGAACAGTCTTGATTGCATCTTGAGTTTAACACCATAGTCTAGCGGTCACAGAAGAGATCATTATTGGTCACTAAAAGTGACAGTTTCATATGGCTTGTTTGCAAACAGAAAAAGTCTAAAACAGAATAACTGTTAGCTGAGCACTCAAAGTACTTGCGTAATGTATAATTTCACCACAACAGATGGACAAAAAGTGTTTTTTTTCTTCTTCTTGGGAATAAGAAATCGTTTTTACCTTGGGTTTGTTCCTTGATTTGTCAGAGACATTGGATGGTTTTCTTTGAAGCATTCTGCCAACTGCGTCAAATGTTTTTCTCTTAATTTCACCTGACAGAAAGCCGCTCAGCTCTTATTGAAGCACTGGCCTGAAGCAGCTCACACATGCAGTCGAGTCTAAACACACTTCCTCAACCGCACACAGGATGTGAGCGTCTACTCTGAAATCTCTAATCAGTGACTTTAAAGTGTCTCTTCAAGAGAAAATAATGCGGCCTTATCATCATGACAATCTTTTAGAGCAACACCAGGAACTAAGGTTATTCTGATGTAATTTATATGATCTGTAGAAATAAGAAACATCTTTAATTGAGCATTTATTTATCATCAATTAATTAATATGTACGCTTCCATTTAAAAAGGGGTCAGTGAGATTTTTTATATTTTTGAAAGAAGCTTTTAATGCTCAACAAGGCTGAATTTATTTGATCAAAAATACAATACAAACAGTAATATTGTGAAATAGTTTTACCATTTACGATATCTGTTTTCTGTTTTAATATAGGCCTATTTTAAAAATGTAATTTAATTCTGTGATGGTAAAGCTGAATTTTCAGCATCATTACTCCAGTCTTCAGTATCACATGACCCTTCAGAAATCATTCTAATATGCTGATTTAATGCTCAAGAAACGTTTCTTATTATTATCAATGTTGTAAACAGTTGTGCTGCCTAATATATTTTTTTTCTGGATTTTTTGATAAATAGAAAATTCAAAAGCAGCATTAATTTGAAATATAAATCTTTTACTGTTTCTTTTGATAAATTTATTGTGTCCTTGCAAATTAAAAGTATAACATTTTAGACTCAAACTATATATAATATTACACACTGTATATCTTGTAATATATTAAACATTATGTTACATATTCTAAAATATATATATATGATTATGTACCATATAAATAAAACCAACATTTATTTGTAAAAATATTTATTTATTTTCTAATTAATTTTTATAATTTACTATTTATTTTCCAATTTTTTTTATTTTTTTTATTTTTTTACAAATTTTACAAGTTTTTGTCTTTTAAGCAGTATGCACCACTAATATTTTGTCATCTTGTGGCTCAAGGAAGACATTCATATTTTAAAAAAATATTAAAATGATATTAAAAAAAAAATCTTTAGTGGTATACTTTGTTTAATAAAGCTCTTTGTTTTGCATATTTCGTAGTTGTATCCCCTTTGCCTGAAATCTACATATCAACAGCACATTATGCATTGGATGCTGTTCTTATGTGTCTTTTTAACAGGAAGAGCAGCTCTGATCAGTATCTCACCAGAGGGTCCGGCATTTTTATAATTTACTATTTATTTTCCAATTTTTTTTATTTTTTTTATTTTTTTACAAATTTTACAAGTTTTTGTCTTTTAAGCAGTATGCACCACTAATATTTTGTCATCTTGTGGCTCAAGGAAGACATTCATATTTTAAAAAAATATTAAAATGATATTAAAAAAAAAATCTTTAGTGGTATACTTTGTTTAATAAAGCTCTTTGTTTTGCATATTTTGTAGTTGTATCCCCTTTGCCTGAAATCTACATATCAACAGCACATTATGCATTGGATGCTGTTCTTATGTGTCTTTTTAACAGGAAGAGCAGCTCTGATCAGTATCTCACCAGAGGGTCCGGCATGTCCAGGTCCATGACAGAGTGGGTGATCCACCTGTCTTGCTGATCTCGTTTGTAGGGGTCGAGTCGGTGGAAGAGCTCCTCGTATTTCTCCCAGTCCGTGTCTCTGGGGAGGGTGAAGTTGAAGTTGTACATGACATGTTCGGCCGTTGACCTGTGGCAGGTGTGTGTAGACGTGTCCCACGCTGGAGAATACGCCATCGGGCTCCAGTACTCCTGAAAGAGCCCTGGACTCCAAGAACCCTCCGTTTCTGCGTTATCGTCTTTATCCTGCAGGGGCTGCTGGGATTGCCGTGTGGACGCCCTTGTGTGCTTCTTCTCAGCTTTTTTGGTCAGACTGATGCAGGTTATGACAGGACTATGGTCTTTGCCATTGGATTCTGTCAGTTGACGTAAAGGAAGTAATATGTATGATACAGCTTTTTGTATTAATTTGTACATATGAGGAAATTATTTTTTAGGTTTCTCACCGCCAGGCTCTGTGTTGTTCCTCGCCTCCTCCGTGGTGCTTTGACCCCACTTTTTCACTCCCACCAGTTTCTGGATCTTCTTCAGAGTACCGTGTGCCTCATCCTCGCCCTCTGACCTCCTGGACTGAAATGAAGAGGCACCAAGTAATTACAACACGCGAGGGAGATTAAAGATGCTGTGTACAGTTGACCGCTCACAAACTGCCTCAAGATCAACACACACAAGATTCTACAAACCGCTGGGGATTCTGGGTAATACTAAAGCCCTGCCCTCAGGCTCTAACCTCATTAGAAGCCTTTCACATATGTGCATTCTTACATTGAAATGTCATTTGAGTTCCTCATAATCTGACCTCGGTTTTCATGAAAAACCTAAGACACTATTTTTTTTCTTTATCCTTTTTTGATTCAAATTACAATTTGATTACTTCACATAATGTCAGAAGCCATAAGCAGGCTCAAAAAATGTGCCTACAGATTTCAATATATCCTTTATGTCTTATGTGTTTGTTTATTAAATATTTTAAATGGATGCACATTATATCAATACCATATTGGTTATTAGCCTTTGTATTGATCATTTAATTGTATATGCTCAGTTTCTCTGTTTTTACATTTAGATTACCTAAAGTTAATCTTTCAAAATAATAATTAAAATGTCACAAAAATGAATATTTAGCAAATTAAAATCCTTATATTTTTTCACACTGTACATTATAATGTTGTGATGCCTACATTTAAAATGATTGATTCGAGTTTTTATTGTTTTATTTTTAATTTATTTAAAATAACATAGTATTTTTTAATTTTAAACGATTAAGTTTAGTTTTTAGTGTTTTATCTTTAATTTATTTAAACAAAATTATATGGAGTTGTAATATCAGTGTCAGGGTCATTTTCTGTTTTGGTTTAGTTCTGTGTTACTTGTTTAATTTGACCCAGTTTCCTTTGTTCCCATTTTCCCTCCACTCATTTGTTTCCTAGTTACTCATTAGTTCTCTCCTGTTCTGATTCTGTTAATCATCTGTCTATTTAAGCCTACAGTTTTAGTCAGTTCCTTGTTTGGTGTTGTTGGTATGTTTCAGTTGTTGTGTTCTCATTGGATTTATTATTAAAGACTGTTAGTTTGACTTTTCCTGCACTGTGTGCTTGATCCTGCACAACATGTTACAATCAGCCACTTTTTATTTTAAAATGGTTAATTTGAGTTTTTAGTGCTTTTTTAATGTATGTAAACAAAATAATATTGCATTGTGATATCAGTCACTTAAAAAAAAATTAAAAAAATTTTTAGTTTTTAATGTTTTATTTTTAATTTATGTGAACAAATTGTAATATTGGCCACTTTTTTATTTATCTGTATTCAGCCTTAACATAAATAACAGCTTATCATACCACCCATAATTTTAAATATTGGTGCATTTTTAATATTTTTCTAATGAATTTTCAGAGGGAAAAGAACAATCCTTTTATGCATAATTTTTCATATTTTCCTTTCAAAATTAGTATGGTAAATACGAAATGTCTGGACCGAGCCATAAATGAAGACAGTATACAATACAAAAATCATAACAGACGTTTTGTCCACAATAAAGCGCTATAACTATTAAAAAGTTTAAGGTCTGAGGCAGTCATCAGAGAAGAAACTCACCAAGTCTTGCTGTCTGCATTCAGAGTTTTCTCTATTGGGATTCCAGGCTTCAAAATTCACACCCTGTGAATAAAAACACCAAAGCTGAATCAGTTTGAGAGTGATATTGTATTATTGTAAAGATCTCAGGTCTGACATTGAAAGACTGATAAAAGTGCAATAATACACAGATGACTGAATCACATTAGTGTAATGGAGAATTTAATCACTGAGAAATTTATCCTATATTATCAAGAGGCACATTTTCTTGATGGCAGTGTTTGATGTTTTTGTCTCATAAAAGTGAGGCTGCACAATATTTTTCCTGTGTTGCTGCTGTGATTTACCTGGACGGAGGGATTTTTAACTGTCTTCTCTGAAGTCACCCGCTCCTCTTTCTCTTCTCTAGTGAGTTTTGACCGGTGGTGATCTTTGACCGTCTCTAGATTAAAATGCAGCACAATTTAACTCAAGCCCAGGATTTATGGCAATTCAGATTTTAGATTTAGATGGAAACTTGGAAAGTCTGGGGAAGAGAGTGTGACCTTGATCACATTTTATCTGACTGTCAGTGAATCAGTCTGAGCCCAAATCAAATCCTCTGTTTCACATGGGCTTTTGGAATTGCTTTGTGTCGTCACTGATCTAATCCACTAAGACTGACACGCACGGCTTTCTCTGACCCCGAGCCCACCACACTTCCTCAGCTAATAAAACACACACACACTGCAGTCTCTTTAGACCTGTTACCTGTGTTCGAATGGTTCTTGCTGTGTACCAAGCCGTCTTTTTTCCTGGTGGACGGCCAGTGGGCATCAGACTCTGTATGATCTGTCAGAGATAATAACAGGGGTTATTTTAAGAGCAAAACATGGAAGGCAAATTAAATAGTGTTATCGTGAGACACCGCCACCAAGTAGGTCACCAGGAATGGCATTTGGGTAACAGTGCTCCAAAATACAAGGCAGAAGAGCTTTGCTAGAATTCAGTGGGTCAAATGCAAAAATCTTTTTTTTTTTAAAGTTCAATCCTTAATCCTAAAACAAAGCGAAAAAAAAATCAGACGCATAAAGCTTAATGCTACGGTTCCAGACAGATGAAGTCCTGGATGGAATAACTGACCCTCGGATTATGAATTTGACAGACCTTTAAACTCTATGACACTTTGTTCTATGACTAGCAGTATTATATGTACTGTAGTATTATTAGGCATGTGGTTTAGGTTTTTAATGAACTGTGAGGGAAATCAGCAAAGAATTCTGGGTATTCATTCAAACCAAATAGACAAACCTGTAGTCTCATCTTCTGGTGTCGATAGTATTTGGGACCTGTTATGTGAAAGAAAAACTGCATAAGATTAAAGGGGTCATATGATGCGATTTAAATTTTTCCTTTCTCTTTGGAGTGTTACAAGCTCTTGGTGCATAAAGAAGATCTGTAAAGTTGCAAACACTAAAGTCTCAAACCCAAAGAGATATTCTTTATAAA